CCCCCCCCCCACTCCCGGCTTGGGGGCGCCCGTGTCAGCCCCTCCCGGTAGGATGAGCTCCCCCCCCCACCCTGCCAGCTCTGTCCCCTCCAACCCCCCAGGACACAGCTTGTGCGCAGAGCCTCTCCCCTGCACTCCCAGGGGCTCTAGCAGGGGCAGGAGGAAAGCTGGGTGGGGACAGCTCCGGGGAAGGGGGAGGGTTGGACGCCCCTGCAAGGATGGGAAGGAGGCCCCAGCCCTGCCCCGCTCTCCTGCGTCTGCTCTGGCTGCTCACCACATAGCCCAGGAGCTGCAGGGCCTGCCCCAGCAGGGCGTAAGCCGGGACCTGGCTGGTGGGTGGAGAGCAGCGCTGTCCGCAGGAAGAAATCTCTCTGCTGCTCTGAGAAGAGCTTCCCAAAGACCTGAAACCAAGGGAACACGAGGCTTTAGCCAACAGCCCAGAGCCCAGCTCCAACTCCTGGGGCTAGAACAGCACCGCCCGCCAGTGCCCCGGCAGGGGCCGAGAGCGCCACCTCCGGGGGCTAGAACAGCCCCGCCCGCCAGTGCCCCGGCAGGGGCCGAGAGCGCCACCTCCGGGGGCTAGAACAGCCCCGCCCGCCAGTGCCCCGGCAGGGGCCGAGAGCGCCACCTCCGGGGGCTAGAACAGCCCCGCCCGCCAGTGCCCCGGCAGGGGCCGAGAGCGCCACCTCCGGGGGCTAGAACAGCCCCGCCCGCCAGTGCCCCGGCAGGGGCCGAGAGCGCCACCTCCGGGGGCTAGAACAGCCCCGCCCGCCAGTGCCCCGGCAGGGGCCGAGAGCGCCACCTCCGGGGGCTAGAACAGCCCCGCCCGCCAGTGCCCCGGCAGGGGCCGAGAGCGCCACCTCCGGGGGCTAGAACAGCCCCGCCCGCCAGTGCCCCGGCAGGGGCCGAGAGCGCCACCTCCGGGGGCTAGAACAGCCCCGCCCGCCAGTGCCCCGGCAGGGGCCGAGAGCGCCACCTCCGGGGGCTAGAACAGCCCCGCCCGCCAGTGCCCCGGCAGGGGCCGAGAGCGCCACCTCCGGGGGCTAGAACAGCCCCGCCCGCCAGTGCCCCGGCAGGGGCCGAGAGCGCCACCTCCGGGGGCTAGAACAGCCCCGCCCGCCAGTGCCCCGGCAGGGGCCGAGAGCGCCACCTCCGGGGGCTAGAACAGCCCCGCCCGCCAGTGCCCCGGCAGGGGCCGAGAGCGCCACCTCCGGGGGCTAGAACAGCCCCGCCCGCCAGTGCCCCGGCAGGGGCCGAGAGCGCCACCTCCGGGGGCTAGAACAGCCCCGCCCGCCAGTGCCCCGGCAGGGGCCGAGAGCGCCACCTCCGGGGGCTAGAACAGCCCCGCCCGCCAGTGCCCCGGCAGGGGCCGAGAGCTCCTGCAGCCAAGGCTGCTCTTCCCCAGGAGGCTTTCAGGGTGGCCTGGCACAGGGAAGCCCCTTTATTCCAAGCTCACAGGCATGTGGGGACCCTGAGCCTCTGGTGGCTCTCACTGGTGGGAGGGGCCGTGGTGGGCTGACAGTGGATCTCCGTGCATGGCAGCAGCTCACGGAGACAACAAGGGGCCCTGTCCTGCTCCCAGCAGAGAGATCTGCCCCTCGGTGGCTAGAGGCATGTGGGGTTTGGAGCCCTGCTCCCTCAGCACTGTGACGTCTCCAGCAGCCGGATCTGGCATCTGCAGCTCATCGGTTCCTTCCCGGGGAATCCGAAGTGCAGGGAGACAAAGACCAGGAGACTCAGTCACCCCCCAGAGACGAACCCAGGAAACTTCGCTTCTGCTGGAGCCATTCAGCGTGTGGGAGGGGGACAAGCTGACAGCCTCTCTGACATGGGGTCTGCAGAGCAACGCTCTGGGGCTGCACTTGTCCATCCAGAAGCTGCTCCACCACCTGCTCTGTGGCTCTGTGGGGATCCCCCATTTCCCCTGGACTCCAGCCCTGGGTGCTGGCGTGTTCCTGGACAGCGGTGTTCTCACCACAGTCGTGCAAAGCAGGGGTCGGTGATTTTCTTCTTGTGCCACAAACAGACGCAATGTGGGTCAGCACAAGGTGTTTCTTTGGCAGCACGGCTGAAAGCTGGCACCCAGCCGCTCCCTGGCCGGCCCTGAAGACAGGAGTTGGGCGCATGCAGCCCATCTTGGATTGGAGTCGCTGGGTCCCTTATGCAGTTCCCAGCTTGGGTGCATAGGGAGCAGGGAACCAGCCAGGCTGGCAAGCAGTTCGGTTACCCTGTGCTCTGCTCCCAGGCCCTCGGTCCCAGCCAGGGAAACAAGGAGCAGAGAGACGCCCAGAGCCCTTGGCCTGCATTAGCCCCCACTGACCCAGTGTGACATGATT